CCCCAAAACCCCAAAACCCCAAAACCCCAAAACCCCTTAACAATATTTAAAAATTGAGAAATTTTAAATTTATTAAAATTATTTTAAATTTTGTAGATTTTACTCTTCAAAATTGTTTGAAGATTCCTTTCTTTGGTTTCGATGAGATTTGTTATAAGAAGAGGTCTCAGCTCCCAACATCTTCTTATGCTGGGATAAGACCTTAGGAGGCAACCCTTCTAAGATCCAATCATGCATTAGAGCTTCTGAGGGAGAGATTCTCTCTTTAGGGTCCCATGCAAAGCAGGATTTAAGAAATTTTAGAAACTTTTTATCCTTATATCATTCAAGAATATTCGAAAGACTTTTAGTATAAGGCTTACGAACTTTTCCTCTCGAATTTGGCTTTAGGATTGGGCTGAAGTCTTCACTAAAGAACAATTGGCCTCTTGTGGCTTGTTTTAGGATATGATCAGGAGGCATTCCACAAACCTCCATGATATAACCAAGCTGGTCCTGCTCACTCTCACCAGGGAATAATGGGAAACCGCTGTATAGTTCAGCTAGAATGCACCCGAAGCTCCACATATCAATCGCTGGAGTATAAGGAATGCCGAGAATGATCTCAGGAGCTCTATAAAACCTTGATTGGATGTAGGTATACACTCTTTGCTCTTCAAATCAACTGCTTCCGAAGTCAATTAGCTTTATTCCAGATTTGTTGATATTCTTGAGGAGTATATTTTCTGGTTTTAAATCACAATGAATGATATTCTCCTGCTTTGTGAACCTAAGCGCTTGCAAAATTTGTATCGCAAATCTCCTTATGAGCCCTAGTGAAACTCCTCTGAAATTATTATTTTTGATAAACTCATAGAGATCAATGCTTAGCAGTTCAAAAGAGATTCAGAGGTGCTTCCGAAATATTATGTAGTCCTTTATCTTGATAATATTATTGTCGTCATTGGGATCCTTCTCTCGTAAATGTTTGAGTATATTCACTTCCACACCTGCTTGATACTGGAACTTCTTCTTGCTCCTAATAACCTTGAGGGCGACTAGCTCTTTCTTATGATGGTCAAATCATTTGAGGGCCTGACCAAAACTTCCTTTGCCTAAGGGTTCGATGACTTCGAATCTGTAGCCAATATGGTCTTTTACGACAACTTTGTAATCACCTTTGTCATCATCATAACCATAATTATATTGCTTGAGAGGAGACCCGCTGATTTTATCTGCCTCAAGCCCAAGAAACCAGACTCGTTTGTAGTCAAGAATCTCTTGCTTCTCGTAATCTGAGAGTTGTTGAGTGAACTTCCTGAGGACCAGATTTGGCTTTCAAGGGTAATCAATATGTGCAGGCTTCTTATTAATTCTCTTCTCAAGGTTTGTAAGTTCACGAAGTCTACGCTTTGTTTCATTTTCAGAGTCATCATGCACATACTTGTCCTTGATTGCTTTCCGATCGTTTTCAGAGTTATCAACATGAAAGTGAGAAGATTGCATTTCAGGGACAGCAGATATATCTTGTTGGGGTTCTGGTTGCTGAAGAAGCTCAACTGCATCATTAGTACCTCCCGAGGAATCAATAAATTCACCAATCTTTTCTTTGAGTTGTCGGATATTCGAAGTCATATTCTTCTCTTCTTCATTTGTCAAATCAATATAGCCGTCTCTTTCCTGGCTCAGCAATATCGTCTTCTCAGTAGGTTTGTGCTGAGGTTCTTCGGGAATTCTGTAAGCTTTCACCTTGTTGCCGAACTGGCACTCTCTAATATTGGTCTGGAATAGCTCCATTTTAGATTTAGTGAAGCATTTCAACCCATTTTCTTCTGTGCTCAGGTCTTCACCAATACTATTAGCGTTAACCTCATCATATTCTTGGACTTCAAGGCCATCATCTTCTAAATCTTTGAGACCTTCAGGGAGCTCCAGGTTTGGCTCATCATAATTCTGATACTTCTCAAGGTTAAATCTCAAGAAATGAGAGGTGGTGTTCTTTGTGCTGGATGGAGATATCCCAGAAAGTTTAGTATTCTCTCCTTTGAAAATATCTTTTTGGGTTAGATTCTTCCACATTTTAGCATCATTTGGTTGCTCATCGAGACTGTTTTCCTTATTCTTTCTTTTAGAGTCAGCTTCAAAATGAGAATTTTTATCCTCAATTTGCTTTCTTTTAGTCTTCTGAGTGATTCTAGAGTTATGAGAAGGTGTCTTGTTGTTATACCCTTTGTAGTCAGCTAGATGTTTTCCAATACCTCTCTCATAGCCACTGCTACCAATGCAGGAATATTTAGAGATTTTCTCATCATTCTTACCCAAGATTAGACGAAATTTGTTAGTGCTTGAGTTCTTATTCAAACTTTTGTTTATGTCTTTGTTGCATATTTTTGAATAATTTAGATCATCTAGAGCTTTTCTCTCTTCTAGATGCTCATCAATGTTGATCTTCTGAGTCTTATTGAAACTAATATATCTGGAAGTAGAATTTTTAGTAGTTTTTCCTCGAGACCCCATCTTATACTCCCTGCTCTTCTTGGAGAGGGACATTTTACCTTTCTTCTTGGGTCCACAAACAATTGAGCTCTTGTTCAGTGGACCGTTCAGCATTCTTTTTATATGATTTGACATGTAGGTATCACCCTTATGAGGGTCAATAGAAGCGCAGAGTACAGTGCTAGAGCTAGAATTATTGACATATTCTAACCCAGATTTCTGCTTTGATGGTCTCTGCTTCTCACGGTTGGACACCAGATTACTTCAGTGTGAGACCTTTCATGTTGACTTGTTGACCGAACCCAATTTCTTCATTGAAATATGATTCGAAGTGTTCCTCTTTGACTTCTTAGGATGAGTATTTTTCTTCTTATGGTTTAATAGTGAAATCACATTTGTCATATTCTCCGTGCCGTACTGTGGTTTTGCGGTAGACTTGTTCCTTCCATCAGCTTCATGCGTGGAGATGTTCAAACCCTTGATCATCGAGTTAGTGCCATTATCATAAAAATTCAATGATTCATTGTGCTTGATATAATCAAAATATTGCTTATCCCCTATTTTCCTTCTGTTAATACTTTCTTTGCTCTTGTGATGGGAGGATTTCCTGGACCTCTCCTTCTTATTCCGGGGTGAGATGTACTTCTTCCTGTCCTTAGTGTCTTTGAGGCGGGTAGATTTATTGTAATTTGAGGTGATTCTGTAGAAATCAACCCCTCTGACCTTACCACCAGGTGTTATGGTGCTGCTTTCACCATCAAACAGATAATTACTGGTGGTTGTTATGGTGCTTATCTACTAAAATCAGAGAGGAGCTTACCTTGAATGCTTTCTTTGCCTTACTCCCTTGATTTTTTTGGCTTGATTTTAGCTAAAAATCCTACAAAAGAGGCCGTACTGGTTTCGAGCTCGCCTTGGTAGTGACCCTTGTATATTTTGCATTCGTATTTTTGGAACAACCTGAAGGTGGTCAACAGAAATTACGTGGATTTGAAGTCGACTTTGTACCAACTGTTGAAAATTTCTTGGAGTTCCTCCTGCGGCTCTGGTTAAAATACTATGAAAAATCTGGTTACCAGAAATTCGACCCAGGTGAAAATATTGAAAACTTCTTGAGAATTGTATTGACGCAGTATATGGCCATTCCTTGTGCTTAGAACAAAAAGGAGGGTAATTTTAGTCATAAATTTCAATATATTAACAATCTTTTGTTAGATTTAGTAAATTCAAACTTTACTCATTTGTTGGCTAAATATCAAGGCAAGCTATGTATTTCCAAACCAGATAATGAATTGTTTATTTATATGAATCTGGTCTAAAACTTCTATCCACTTTTACTAACGAAGGAAGTCTGAAAGGATGGAATATGTGCAAAATATATTCTTGAAGCCTTATAATCTCAAAGTTGAAGTTTAGCATGACCTCTAGGCCCATTCTCAATATTCTAAGATAAAAAGTACAGGTATGAGGGAAGTTTTTTGTAAGATAATTTAAAAAGAGATTTGAAAGAGAAACTCTGCAGCACCTTTTAAGGGTGCTTGGAGAGGAAAATTTTTGATATAGTTCAGACACAAAATTTGTACTCCAATATGCTAATTGTGTGATTAGGGATAAAAGAAGATGTATATCCGAAAATAGTTAGAAATCGGGATAAACTTCGGTGATTGCTTTGAACTTACTGATCTCATAATTGTTACCGCTATATTTTAAATATTTAATATTTAATATTTACAATTGTTTAAACATTGATTGGGGTTTTGGGGTTTTGGGGTTTTGGGGGTTTGGGG